AAAAAAAAAAAAAAAAAAGAGGTCTGGGCTGGAGCAGGAAGTCTGAATCCTGTGCCCCCTGACCACTGTCCTGGCCCCAGGTGTGAAAGCCTGGTGGACATTTATTCCCAGCTACAACAGGAGGTAGGGGCTGCTGGTGGGGAGCTTGAGCCCAAGACCCGAGCATCACTGATTAACCGGCTGGATGAAGTTCTGCAAACCCTTGTCACCAGGTATGCCCCACAAGCTCCCAGCCTGGCTGAGAGCAGAGCCCCTTGGAGAAAGGGGCAGAATTGTGGGAAAGGCATCAGGAGGGACCCAGACCCTAGCTCCCCTGTGTCCTCTTCTCTCTTCCCAGCTCTTTCCTGGTGGAGAAGCAGCCCCCACAGGTTCTGAAGACTCAGACCAAGTTCCAAGCAGGGGTACGATTCCTGCTGGGCCTGCGGTTCCTGGGGACCCCAGCCAAGCCTCCACTGGTCCGGGCTGACATGGTGACTGAGAAGCAAGCGAGGGAGCTGAGCATGCCACAGGGGCCCGGGGCTGGACCGTAAGCTTGGGCTGCACCTAGGGTTGGAAAAGACCTGTAGGGTGATGGAGACACAAGAAGCCTGGGTGGCTGGCACTACGAAGAGTGGGATGAGAAGGAGGGAGGGTGTGGAGACCCTGAATAGTCAAGGCACTGAAAGGAGAGGTGCCCACTCAGGGCTTGAATGTGGTGGGGACATGATGGTTTGGCCAAAATGAGGACTCCTTCCTTGAGAACCCAAGTAGGATCATGAAGGTTTAGGGCCAGTGACAGTGGATAGTGTATGCCATCCCCATGGACTCAAGTGCCTGACTACACCTGGCCTAGCTAGAACGAGCTCATTGACACCCTGACCTCCCTGGCAGAGAAAGCACTGGCGAGATCATGAACAACACGGTGCCCTTGGAGAACAGCATTCCTGGGAACTGCTGCTCTGCCTTGTTCAAGAACCTGGTGAGGGGCTTTAGAGTGCCATGGTCAGGGAAAAGGGAAGTAAGATTACGGACTCTCCTTGCAGAGGGTGTTGGAAGGCCCAGGAGAAGCAGCTTCTGCCTGCACACTCTTACCCCTACTCTCCTTCCGTCCATACTGCAGCTTCTGAAGAAAATCAAGCGGTGTGAGCGGAAAGGCACCGAGTCAGTCACCGAGGAGAAGTGTGCTGTGCTCTTCTCCACCAGCTTTACACTCGGCCCCAACAAAGTCCCCATCCAGCTCCAGGTGAATCACATCCCACCTCCACCCTGATCTGGGGCCCCAAGTTCCCTTCACAGACAGGGGCCCTGTGACTATGCTGATTCTCCTATCTGTGAGACTCATGTGACCGGGCCAAGGTGAACAGAAGGGGCAAGAACACAGAACTCCTATGAGGAACGGGGGCTAGAGCAGCCAACACCCACTGCCAGTGTTACAGAGCAGGGCCCTCTGTGAAGCTCACATGCATGTGCACACACAGCTGTGTACATGTGGTTTCCACAATGACGCTGTGAGGAAGGTACTGTTACTTAGAGGCATTTTGCAGATAAGCACATTGAGACAGAGAAAAGTTAAGTAGTTTGCCCAGCTCAGATACTACTAAGTGCTGCAGGGGCACTTGGGGCCTGGAAGTCTGGCTCTATGGTGACTTGTAAACCACTTGTCTATAGTGGGACGCTGACTGAGCTTCAGAAGGCATTTAACCCTTTCCAATCCAAGTTTTCTGCCACTCACATACTCCCCAGCTCTTAATTATTTGGGGGTGGGAAAGAGGTTGGTAGATTATTTGTAGTTATCATAGTTTTATTTTTAATTTCTTTCTTTCCTTTTTTGGAGACAGAATCTACCTCTGTTACCCCAGGCTAGAGTGCCATGGTGTCATATAGCTCACAGCAACCTTAACCTCCTGTACTCAGGCCATCCTCTTGCCTCAGCCTCCTGAGTAGCTGGGACTACAGGTGCCCGCCACTACCTGTGGCTAATTTTTCTATTTTTTTAGCAGAGATGGGGTCTTCCTTCTGCTCAGGCTGGTCTCGAACTCCTGAGTGCAAGCGATCCACACACCTCACCCTTCCAGACTGTTAGGATTACAGGCCTGAGCCACTATTACTGGCCTATCATACAGTTGGGTTTTTTTTGTTTTTGAGACAGAGTCTCACTTTCTTGCCCCCAGTAGAGTGATGTGGTGTCATAGTTCACAACAACCTCAAACTCTTGGGTTCAAGTGGTTCTCTTGCTTCAGCCTCCCTAGTAACTGGGACTACAGGTGCCCTCCACAACACATAGCTATTTTTTAGAGACCGGGTCTGACTCTTGTTCAGGCTGGTCTCAAACTCCTGAGCTCAAGTGATCCATCTGCTTTGGCCTCCCAAAGTGCTGGTATTACAGGCATGAGCCACCACACCCAGCCCTTATTGTACAGTTTTAAAAGAGAAAAGCATAAATATGAAGTTACCTGGTGGTTTTACTACTGATTTTAGGTTACATAAAATAATAAAGTGTTTTTATTTTTGTTTATAAACAAAAAAATTTACTATGTTGGGTAAAGGGTTACTAATATCCCACTAGCTTTTTAACTGTGTTGTGTGAGTACAATTACTTGCCTGCCTGCAGGAGCCACCACCCCAACCCCCAGGAAACCCCTTGCTCCACTAAGAAGAAACCCTGTCCTCCCCTTCTTAGGCCCTGTCTCTGCCCCTAGTGGTCATTGTCCATGGCAACCAAGACAACAATGCCAAAGCCACCATCCTGTGGGACAATGCCTTCTCTGAGATGGTGAGGAAAGACCTGGATTTGGCGGGGACAGGGCAGGGTGGGTTGTGACACAGGGGTGGGGTAGGCTGGTTGGTGGGACGGCAGGCATGTTCCGATAGGTGTAACCTTGACTCCTTCTCATGGGCCTGTTTTGTATTTCTGACCTCTTTTCATCCAGTCTTACCAACTTTCATGCCATAGCATCATAAACTATCATTGAAAAAGCATCAGATAAAGAAAAGAAAAAAGAAAAAGCACCATATTTGTGAGGGAGCTCAGGGTGACAGTGCTGGGAGAGGTAGGCTTCAGGAAGGTGGGAAGGATGAAAGCCCACCTGAGGAAGGACGAGGATGATAGCCTGAGGTGTTCTCTCCTTCTCGCTCTCCACAGGATCGTGTCCCCTTTGTGGTGGCTGAGCGGGTGCCCTGGGAGAAGATGTGTGAAACTCTAAACCTAAAGTTCATGGCTGAGGTGGGGACCAACCGGGGACTGCTCCCAGAGCACTTCCTTTTCCTGGCCCAGAAGATCTTCAATGACAGCAGCCTGAGCATGGAGGCTTTCCAGCACCGTTCTGTGTCCTGGTCCCAGTTCAACAAGGTCATTTCCCTGCTCTTTGGACTTTAGGCATTTGGGGCCTCCCTAACCTCTACCCAGGGCCGGACTGCTGAGATCTGCATAGTGCCTCAGCCTGTCATCAGGAAGGGCTCTGTCATGGCCCAGGCAGGAAAACCCCTCAGCCCTGAGGTTGAAGATGCATTCTACGGCATCCCTCAGGTTTTGGTCTGAAGGCCCTCTGTCCTTCCTCTTTACAGTGGCTTGCATGACTCATCTTGCTTTTATGTAAACAGAGCTCTGATTCAAAATGACTTTGACCCATTGGAAAAATAGTTCCTATTGCAAAAACTAGATGAAATTCCACATGACATGTGCAGTAGTACCAGTTACCACATGTTGAAAGCTTACTATGTGCCAGGCACTGTGCGTAACACTTGTATGTTATCTCACTTGATCCTCCCAACATGCCTTTGCAGTACTATATTATCACCATTTTATAGATGAGGAGCCAGATGCTCAGCGAGGTTAGGTAGTTTGTCCAAGGTCTCATAGTAGGTGAGCAGCATGGCTAGGACGGACCTCTATATTTCTTTTTTCATTTGTTTGTTTTTTCAAGACAAGGTCTCACTTTGCTGCCCAGGCTGGAGTGAAGCAGCGTCATCAAAGCTCACTGCAGCCTCAAACTCCTGACCTCAAGTGATCTTCTTGCCTCAGCCTCTCAGAGTGCTAGGTGTGGGTCCGTGCACCCAGTTGAACTGCTGTATTTCTGACTCTTGCTCTTAACTGCTGTATTTTACTGCCTCCAGAATGAGGCCTTCAAGATCAGGTTACTTACAAGAACAGAGGAGAAAAGAGATTTAGACATCTTAGTTAACAACCAGCTGGGTAAACATAGCCATACATGTTATCTTTATTTATTTATTTTTATTGTTGCAGTTGTTTAGCTAGCCCGACCCAGGTTCGAACCTGCCACCTTTGGTGTATGTGGCTGGTGCTGTAACCAGTGTGCTATGGGCACCGAGCCCAGGCACATTATCTTGAAAAGAAAAAAAAACATGAAGAGGCTGGGGGCGTGGTGGCATGTGTCCATAATCCCGTCTATTCAGGATGTTGAGGTAGGAGGATCACTTGAGCCCAGGGCCTTGAGTCCAGCCTGGGCAACATAGTGAGACCCCCATCTCTCAAAAAATGTTTTTTATTTTTTATTTTTGAGATAGTCTCACTGTGTTACCCTCCATAGAGTGCTGTGGCATCACAGCTCATAGCAACCTCATATTCTTGGGCTTAAGCGATTCTCTTGCCTCAGCCTCCCAAGTAAGTGGGACTACAAGTGCCCCCCACAACGCCTGGCTATTTTTTGTTGAGGTTGTCATCATTGTTGTTTAGCTGGCCCAGGCCAGGTTCTAACCCGCCAGCCTCAGTGTATGTGGCCAGCCCTGTAATCACTGTGCTATAGGCACAGTGCCTCAAAATGATTTTTTAATAAAAATGAAATTTTAAAAAGGGAAGAAAGAACATTCTATATCATCAGAGGATGTGTTAGCAAAGGGGGCAGGACAGTCATACCCAGCAAGTGATCTTCCTCTGGACTCCAGCTTAGCAGAGTAGTTAGCTCAGTGCCAGACTGCTTGGATTTAAGTCTCAGTTCTACCTCTTACCAGCTGTGTAGACCTGGACAAGTCACTTGACCTCTCTGGGCTTCCATTTCTTCGTCTGTAAAACAGGATTGTTAGGCTGGGTGCAGTGGCTCATGCCTGTAATCCTAGCACTCTGGAGGCTGAGGCAGGTGGATTGCCTAAGCTCATGGGTTCGAGACCAGCCTGAGCAAGAGTGAGACCTTGTCTCTAAAAATAGCCAGGCGTGGTGGCAGACACCTGTAGTCCCAGCTACTTGGGAGGATGAGGCAGGAGAATCACTTGAACCCAAGAGTTTGAATTGAGAATCGCTGTGAGCTATGATGCCTTGGCACTCTACCAAGGGAGACAAAGTGAGAATCTGTCTCAAAACAAACAACAACAAAAATGGGATTGTTATAGTACTTAACTCCAAAGCCTTGTAAAGATATAATCAATTGATATATGGAAATGGTTGGAATAGAGCCTGGCACACAATAAGCACCAGTGTTGGCTGTCATCATTGACAGCATTGTTGGTGGGGTCTCAGATCCAGTTTGCTTCCTCAGCCCTGGGATTCTGTTGTGTGGACACTCAAAGATTAAAGCCCACCCTAGTCAGACTCCAATTCTGCCCGCTCCTCATGCCAGCTCCCTGTCCCCACAGGAGATCCTTCTGGGCCGTGGCTTTACCTTTTGGCAATGGTTCGATGGTGTATTAGACCTCACCAAACGCTGTCTCCGAAGCTACTGGTCAGACCGGTGAGTCCCTACCCCAGGCCGGAGCAGCTATGTCTCCAGCTCCCTCTCCAGCCCAGTGCCCACACCCCTTTCTTCTCCTTCATCCTGGCCAGGCTGATCATTGGCTTCATCAGCAAACAGTATGTTACTAACCTTCTTCTCAACGAGCCCGATGGAACCTTTCTCCTCCGCTTCAGTGACTCAGAGATTGGGGGCATCACCATTGCCCATGTCATCCGGGGTCAGGATGGTGAGGTCACCCCAGCCAGTCCTCTGTTTCTATGCCTGTGCCCTCTGGGGGTTCTTCTGGGAAAGGAATGTCCTGGCCTTCCTTCCTGCCAACCCTGATCTTTAGGAAGGTTTTCCTAAGGTCCAACTCTCTCTTCTCTCTGTGGCGTAAATTTCCACCTTCTCTCTGTTAGTTCTGTGAGGAAGGAACCCACTGGATCCCCACCCTAGGTCCCTGTCCCTCTGTGATGCTTTGAGAATGGTGGGGGCTGTGTGTTGACTGGGGACAGGTGAGAACATCGGACAGAGGGGACTCAGAGACTCCTTCCTATTGTAGGCTCCCCACAGATAGAGAACATCCAGCCATTTTCTGCCAAAGACCTGTCCATTCGCTCCCTAGGGGACCGAATCAGGGATCTTGCTCAGCTCAAAAATCTCTACCCCAAGAAACCCAAGGATGAAGCTTTCCGGAGCCACTACAAGCGTGAGCTGGAGCTGGCAGCTCTGATTCCTTCTGACACCCACCTCCTCCCTGCTCCCAGATGACTCCTCTCCCCACCCACTGTGTGTCAGTCCCTCCTGACCTCTCTCCCACCTTTTGTCCACACACTTCTGCTGCCCATCAGGCATGCCTGCCTTTTCTATCTCCTTTCTTTCCTAACCCCAGAACACTCCATGGCTCTCCTTTCCTTCCCACAACAGCTGAACAGATGGGTAAGGATGGCAGGGGTTACGTCCCAGCTACCATCAAAATGACTGTGGAAAGGTGAGTGGTGGTGTGGATGGAGGGTGGGGTTCAGGGTTGGTACTTACCTCTAGGAAGGAGTGGTGGCAGTAACCTGTGGCCAGTCACGCATGCCGCCTTCTCTCCTCCAGGGATCAGCCACTTCCTGCCCCAGAGCCCCAGATGCCTACCATGATGCCCTCTTATGACCTTGGAATGGCCCCTGACTCCTCCATGACCATGCAGCTTGGCCCAGATACCGTGTAAGGAGCTTGAGAGATGGGAATGGAAGCAGCCTGTGCTGATGGCTTTCAGCATGGAAAAGCTGGCATTGGGGGCTGAGCTGGGAATTTTCGTTCCCATCAGAGAGATTCCCCTTCCCAAGGCAGGGTGTGGGGGAGTCCAGGAGGAGGGCTGGCATTAGAGGATCTGTTTTCTTTCTCCAGGCCCCAGGTGTACCCACCACACTCTCACTCCATCCCCTCGTATCAAGGCCTCTCGCAAGAAGAATCAGTCAGTGTGCTGCCAGCCTTTCAGGAGTAAGTCAAAGCTTCGTGGGGATGGAGGGCAGATACTGCCCCACTTTTGGGGGCTGGATGGGCACTTGCATTTGTCAGAAGAGGCTTTTGTGTGAAGAAGGAGCAGCAAATTCTAAGGCCTCTTCTTCTTTTTCTGTGCATTCTACTTAGACAGTAGTGTCCAGACTGCCTGGGTTTGAATTCCAGCTCTGCCACTTACTAACTTTGAGCAAGTTATGTAACCTCTGGTGCTTAATCTGTAAAATGGGGATAATAATGATAATAATCTTTACTTAATGGAATTATTGTGAAGGTTAAATGAGTTCATATGTGTAAAGCTGAGGTCATTGGCTGGCTCACAGCAAAATTCACAGATAAAAACATTCAAGCGGCTCAGCGCCTATGGCTCGATCGGCTAAGGCGCC